TAGTATCTCGGCTACTACACTACTTCTTCTACTCTTTATTAGTAATAAAGGCGTTTCTTTACTATACGTTACAAAGGGCTTCTAATAGTAATAGTAGTAACGTTAACGTTACTATTACCTAGCTATTACTCTTACTAGCCTAACTCTAAGTAGAGTTCTCTACTAGTATAAGAGTATTTAATTTACGACTTAATACTCTAGTAATAAAAGCGTAAGGTCCTTAAGACTTACGATCGCCTTAGTCTACTAGCTAGCATAAGTCTGGCCTCTTACGCTAAAGCGATTCTACTAAAATAGTATACGTTAAAGAGGTCGCTAAACCTTTAAAAGGAATAGAAGAAATTAAAGAAATAAAAGGAATTAAAAGAATAAAAGGAATAAAAGCTTTATTTTAAACAAGTCTTATAGTAAGACTAACGGCTTTTAAGGTAACTACATTTACCTAGAATTTGTTAAGGAAAGTTACTAAGAGAGCTCGTTACGCCTCTAATTACTTATTAAGATCTTATAAGTTAGGCCGCTACAATAACCTATTAGTAGGGTTTTAGCTACTCTCCTTATATTTAATCTTAAAGTTAAAGACAGAAAGTTCCTCTAGCTATCTAGCTTACTACTATAATAACTTTAGCTTTATAGAGAGGTAATAGTAGTTTAGGTAATCTATTAAAACTAATACTAAACTTTGTATATATACTAAGTACGGCCTTTATAACCTAAAAGCCTTAATAATAGCTATTAACTTAGCGTTAAGGGTGTCGTAGCGTAGCTCCGGCCCCTTTAGCTTTCTAGAAATAAACGTAATAAGGTACTAGCGGCCTTCTTATAGCTATAAAAAGACAGTACTAATAGTATAAGTAGATACATCTGTTTTTACATACATAAGTAGTTTAGGGTTATAGTAACATAAAAAAGAGGCCTTTATAAAGACTAGTCGTAGCTTGTAGAAGGCTTCTAAGGCTTTAGAACTTAGTGTAATAGTACTAGTAGTGTTGTCTTAAAAGAGATTCGTTAGTAGTATAGTAATCTTTAAATAATTCTTAATAAAGCGCTTATAGAACCTAGTAAACCTTAAGAAGATATAAATGTCCTTTATAGTTATAGAAATAGGCTATTCTTAGATTATAAAGACACGCTTAGGTTTAATATAAACTCCTTATAGGTTAATAACGTATCTTAGAAAACCTACTTACTTTATATTAAACTTATACTTTAAGAGGTTAGTATAAAGGTTATGTTATTAGAGACGTTTAAGAACGTAGTAAACATACTATATATACTCTTTTTTATTTATAGAGTAAATAAGGATATTATTAAGATATATAATACAAATATTATTAACAAGATTCCTTAGTACTTTGTTAATAAAGGACTAGAAGGTTACTAGTACGTTTACTAGCCTAAAGGGTATAATATAGTATTTAAAGTAGCTATATTAGTACTAGAAAGCCGTTTTCTACTTATTACTAGCCTTAATACAAACTTAATAGTACGCTTTACGTAGGTTAAGCTTAGTATAGACATAGGCTTACGACAGCTAATTAAGGATCTCCTTAATTAATAGAATAAAGGCTTAGTTCTTTCTAGTTATACTATTTAACGCCTAGTAGTTAACGTAAAGTCGTAGCTTTCTTTCTTTCTTTAGAACAAATAGTATTAGAGTACTAGTAAGGCTCTTACTTAGACAGATCTATCTTTTTACTAGAGTGTTGTCTAAATATTCGTATAAGACACCTAGCTTAACCTCTATAAGTAAGTAGATTCGGCTATATAGTAGTACTACGTCTCTTTTAAGGTCTATTATATAAGTAAGGCTATTAATTATAAGTAGTGATCTAGCCCTTTTCTTAGAGAAGACGTCTATAAATTATTAGTACTTACTAGGTAAGGTCGCTATAGCCTTACTGTCTTCTTATAGTTCTTTTTATAGTTCCTTTTTACCTAAGGATTCTAGGTTAACTATAATTAGTTATACTATCGCTATAATTATAAATTAAGCTTTTTTTATTACTTTCCTAATTTCTTTCTTTATTATATACAGCTAGACTATTAAGGACGACATAAGGTATATAAATGTCTAGGTCTTCTATAAAACAATTAGGTCTATAGCCTTTAGCTATAGAAATCTAAGTATAACATCTAAGTCCTTAATGTTAGTAACAACAAACCTGCCTTAATGTCGCCTTACTATTAAGTAGTTATCTTAGGCCTTAACAAACAGATCGTATAATCTAAAGCTTGTCGTTATGTTCTAGAACAGTAAGGACACTATAATATAATTATTAAGTTACTATAGTACCTCTTGTCCTAATAGTCGTAAGTAGATAAGGTTAACTTCTACTCCTAAGTCTAGTAAGGCTAGTATAGCTACCTAGCTACCCTTAATACGTATCTCTACCTAAATACTTATTAAGGGTTACCTTTCTTCTTATTGTTTAGGCGTAACGTAGTAGGCTACTAGTATAGTATTAGCGCCTAAAGTACTAGCCTTATTAGGGCACTAAGCGTAAGTATACCTAGATTAACTGTATATAGAGCATTTATATAGTAGGCACGAATTTACCTAATAACCGGGCTACTAGTATTAGTAGTAGTTACCTTATACCTTACTTACTAAAAGGGTTTTTATAACGCTAAGAGAGTCCCTTTACGTATTTAAAGTTTAGCTACTAGATACTCCTTACGTGTTTACTAGTATAGATAAGGTCTTTAGATTATAAAAAGAGCCTCTTCTAGTATAGTATAGTATTAAAAGGGCTCTATAAGAGCCTTCTTATTACCTTATCTAAATAAGAGTTTCCCTTCTTAACGCTACTACCTTAACTACCTTAAAGGTATCTAAGACCTTGTTACTTACTATATAGGCCCTTAACTTAGGCTTTAAACAATTAATAAGAAGGTAGATATAGAACATCTCTAAGAAGGCGTAGCTAAGTTTAATAACTAAAGAGTTATACTATTAAAGGAAATTCCTAAAGGTCTTGTTTTAGTTTTAAGTTAACATTTAGAGTTTTAATACTACTTTAAGAGAGTAGGTACTCTTATCTACGATACTATAAAGGAGCTACGCCTTTATTTCTCCTTAAGTTATATTAAGAACTAATCTGCCTTTTTCTAAGAAAATAAAAGACTTCTAGCGCTCTTTAATATAATCCTTTAGTACTACTACTATAGCGCCGACACGTTTAGTATCTGTTAGATAACTCTCTAGATAAGTGTCGAACTCTATTTCTTAGTTAAATAAGAAGGTTGTAATACTAGTATATGTCTTGTTTTTTAGTAGAATAAAAAGGGTATTATAATAGCTCTTCCTTATTTCTTTAATACAGGTTTGCTAAAAGGGCTATTCTACTTTAGAAAGGTTATTAAATTCGTATAGGTTTATTAAGAGAGCCTCTTTTCTCTTAAGCGCTATAAGGTAGTCTTACTTTTGCTTAAGGCGCTACTCTACCCTTACTTAGGTAATCCTCTTGTTTAACTTAGTCTTACTTAAGGAAAGGATTTCTATTAACATTTAGGGAGTTATACTAGGTTTACTACTATCTACCTATAAAGAAGTATTCTAAAGAGTTACTTAAGAAGAGGCCTACGTCTTGTTAAGGTTTATTTGTCGTGTCTACGTTATTGCCTTTTACTCTAATAGTCTATAACCTTTTAGTAAAGAAGAGAGATTAGAATATTAGGTATATTTTTATAGAGTAAAAGAGACAAGAGTTAATAGATAGTCGTAGTATATTTAAAGGTATATCACTACTTTAACTATAGACTAATCTCTAAACCCCTCTTCTTTCCCCTCCTTACCCTTTATTCTTATGCTCCTTAATACCTACTATTACCTTAGTTGTAGCACGTAGTTACCCTGTACTTGATTTCTAAGCTATTGTAATTTCACGTGTTAGCACACCTAACAATCTCCTAGGTGCACCCTATAACACTCTCTAACGCTATAAGAGAAGCCGCCTGGCTAAGACAGCTATTCTACGAGTTAGGTGTTAACTTAGATAACACTAAAACGATCCGAATATATAGTAACAACTAAGGATCTCTAGTACTAACAGATAACCTAGTTATCTACTAGAAAACTAAGCACATTAACGTATAGTACTACTATATTTAAGAGCAAGTCGCGCTAGGCAAAATAGAGGTCTAGTTTAAGCGTACAAAGGATATAGTAGTAGATAGGCTTACTAAAGCTCTAAAAGGACCTAAACACACTAAGTTCTTAAAGCTATTAAATCTATATACTATAGCTATCCTAATTACCTAATTAAGACGATTCCTTGTTTCTATTTCCTTTTTTAGCATTAAAAGCGATAGAAACCTACCGGTTTACTATTTCTATTTCCCTTTATAGTAATAGGACAGTAGAAAACTTACTAGTTTACTATTTCTATTTCCCTTTTTAGCGATAGTAGCGGTAGAATCTTACTAGTCTACTATTTCTATTTCCTCTTTTAGCACCTTACTTAGTAGAACAGTAGGCAGTATAGAATTTAGGCTAGATAGATAGATAAGACGTTACAGGCGTAGATTTAGGGGTGTGTTACAAGAAACCACTAGCCTATCACGTAAGGTTATTAGTCACAGGACTAGGACTCTAGTCTAACCTAATTAGGGTTAGTAACCCGCCAAAATTCCTAGTTGTTTACTATAGCTATAGAGGCACTTTGTATAATTACTTTACTTAGTCAATTTAATTCATTGGTTCCTGCGATACGACGATAGATCGAATATCCCGTGTAACAGAATCCTTATCGAATCATCTCAATTACCAAAAGGTAAAAATCGAGGTAGCCCGTAAGCAAGCACTGATATCACTCAAATTACTCCCAAATGCCGCCGAAGTAGGTCTAATAATCTATATCCTATAACACAGTAGTAAGTGATACATTTAAACGTCTGAAATACTCCTGAACATCGAGATAATGGGTCAGTTCGAGATTGATGGATATATTCTTGCTTTCGAAAGACACCTAGGATATCTGAAAATATCTCAATAACTGAGCACTCGTTAACCCAAAGAGAAGAGCGACAAAAAGCTACTCTCTAAAACCCATCTCTGGTTCAAAATCGATGAACTGTTCGTCCACACCTGAATCCCAACGCCTTCCAATGCAACTCCAACAATATGTAACGGGGCTTCCGAATCTACACAGCTGCCACGCCCGGTCTCCAGCTCTCCCCAATCCTCCTCATATCCTCCGTGAACCTCCTGCTGCTGATCTTCTTCCCACCCCTCCCCGTCGGTGGACTATGCTCATCCGGGTCGTAGAATGGGTTTTGAAGTAATCTTATATATGCTGTCTGCATCGCCCTGAACACCTGTCCCTTTAATCAGCACATGTCCCCGCTCCTTGTTCTTTCTTCTAGAATTAGGCTTGCAATGAATGCATCACTCACCAGCTTCATATCTCCCTCTCTCAACCCCACAGCTGGGCCCCTCCCAGCATCGCCGCCCGCGATCCGGCCCCGCATGTCCACCACGGCGACGAACCGCACCCCGGTATTGGTCTCGAAGCCGTACGCCGCGAGCCGCTCGTCGATGGCGTGGAGCAGACCGAAATCGCCCGAGAGGCCACCGCCAGAGGTGAGGTTGGCTTTGGAACGCGCTTCGAAGATGTCGAGGGTGCTGGAGAGGAGAAGCGAGAACTGGAGAGGGGTGCGCAGAGGCGCGTTGTTGGGCTGCGATGGGAAGATGGAGATGTGGAGGGGATTGTTCTGACGGTTGGTTAGTGATGCGTCTTGGAGAGCGGGCTCTGGATTTGGGAGGAGGAATATGTACGTTTTTGCCTATTACGCCCAGGCAGGCTATGGAGGGTATTGTTGTCATGGTTGGCTTGCCCACGCTGAGGCCAAGTTGTTTGTCGTTGGTTTGGATGTCGTTCTCAGCCGAGAGAGATATCAGACGAGGCTGGGATTTTCCTGGTTACATTTTCAAGGCTGAGCAATAAGAAATATAACCACCAAGATTATTTAAAGCTGAGGTTCATAGCTACATGAAATAAAATTCTGAAGGAGTTAAATTATATGTAAATAACTAATTTTCTGGCTTGATCCTCCATTCTGGATATTCCGGATATTCCCATAGCCTCACAGCCTTGGTGTTTACAATACACACGACGGCAGCTTCTTTTGAGGCTACGGATAACCTCATCCAATATCATACACTGACCTTGGCGGGATGTCCTCTTCTCAGCCATGCTAAGGGCAGGTTTATGCCCTTCCTCAATAAGTCGCTGTCTCCAGGAAGTTGAATCCAATCAATATCGACCTGGCAATCAATCGTCGTCACCTGAGGTTTCTGTCTCGTCCAAACCCCTGAGAACTTCTTCAATCTCCTTGGGATCAGTTATACCCCATACCCCGCCTCCTTTTACACCGTCTTTCCCGCGCATTCCAACTTCCTTCCCAACAAGATTCCTACCGACTTTACCAGGCCCAATACCTATCCAGCGGCGAACATGTTGTTCCTGATCTAGGTACTTGATCGAATCCCACCATTGTACAGTCTCGACGGCTTGTCGCGCCCAGAGATCTTTCAACTCTTCCTTGCTCTTGAAGGGTCGAGCGGTGACATTGCTGATACATTGCATAACCCCCGGAAATGTAACTAGATCTTCATGCTCTCTCCCTTTCACCCTACTCTTCCCTTCCAACATCTTCTTCATAGCAATCGCAGCCGGCTTCATCAACGGGCTGTGGAACGGACTGTCAGCCTTTAACCTGACCGCTCGGGGATCGTGGCCACTGAAAACCCTGACATGGGTCAGGAGAGTTTTTATCTTCTCGATACTCCCACTCAGCACAATCTGATTCTTGCTGTTAATATTCGCGATCAGCACCTGCTGGATAGGTGGTACATCCTCTGCACTCTCCGACTTTGAACCTGCGCTGTGATGTCCGAGGAATTCGTGGATAGCATCGATTAGAGGAAGGAGATGGTCAGGTTCCGACACAAGAGCTACCATTCCATACTCGCCTCCGTGCTCCTCGACAGCTCGTCGGGAGCACTCCGCCATGACCTCTGCCCGTTTCCGCACCAAGTATAAGCTGTCTTCGAACGAGGCATAACCTCCTGCAACGAGAGCCGCGAATTCCCCCAATGAATGACCCAATGTGTACTCGGCCCTCTCCGCTGGTCTGAAGCCAAATTCCCGCTCTAATATTCGAAGGATAAGGATAGAAGAGGCCATGATGGCAGGTTGTGCGATTACTGTTGAGGTGAGGGTGCTGTTTGGCCCCTCTTCGATTATCTTAGAGAGTTTATAGCCCATGAGACTGTCGATTTCTTCAATTATGGGCTTTGCTGTCGCGGGGAAGGCCTCGATCCATGGCGTGAGCATACCGACTCTCTGAACTCCCTGGCCTTGTCAATCGTTAGCAAGAGCGAGCGATCAATGCAGTGCCGGGAATCGCATACCAGGGAAGAAGAGCGCCGTCCGTGGCCGGGACGCCTTCGACGACGCATGCCGTATGCTGTATTGTGTCCCCAAGCATTGCGGCTGCACGCGGCGGCGCGGAGAGAGTGGCTTCCCATGGACTTGCTCGTCGACGCGGCATGTCCGCCGAGCACTGCTACATGGCCTGGGCAAGCCTGTCGCAAGGCGTTTCATTGCGAGAAAGTCCTCCCTCGTATGACAACAGCCCAGAGCGAGCTGGCGACTGAGAATTGCGGCGCCGTCTTCTTAAATAAGGGCTTGATGGGAGGGGGCATCGAAGCTATCCTGGTCCATCTAACTCGGCCCCGCGGGAACTCTAACTACCCCCACAATCCATACGGGGTTTCCATTAGCCGATGCAGACATCCGGGTGCTGAACGGCCTGAACTGCCACGATTTGCCAAGGCGGTGAAATAATGCTCTTCATGCCGTCTGCCCGGATTCTGTCCGGCTTCAGTCCTGACTCCTGGGTTGGATTATTAATAATTAAGATCCAATTGTTACGGTTTTAGAGCCCCGAGGAACCTTCGGAATCACCAAGTACTTCACCAATTTATTTCTAAGGGGCACGTGGCCATGGGTTCTGAAAGGTCCAGGTCGATGGGAGTATTATTTCCGAAATTTGATTTTTTTTCTCACTATTTTTACAAGTAGCCAAACACCGTCGTAGCCCTATGAACGCCAATTCCCGACTTCGTAAGCTGCATCTGACATAAGGTAGAGAACCCCGAGAAATCTCCTCCTATGACTCAAGCCAGTCAAGGAACTGAGGAGTGAAATAGCTCACGATGATAGTTGCACCAGCCCTCACAATTCCCTCCGTAGCTTCAAATGCCATCGCCTTCAAGTCAAAAACCCCAGCTTTGGCAGCAGCGTGAATCATAGCAAACTCTCCACTAACTTGGTATGCAGCGACCGGCAGGTTCTTGCCAATTTCCTTTGCATCACTGATGATATCAAGGTATTGGCTCGCAGGCTTGACCATGATGATGTCCGCACCTTCGCCGATATCTCTTTCAATTGCTCTGCGGGCAAGGCCCCGACCTCCCGGTGGTAGTTGGTAGCACTTTCGGTCCCCGAATGATGGCACTGAGCCGGCCGCATCTCGGAAGGGCCCGTAAAGGCAGCCAGAGAATTTTGCTGCATATGACATTAATACCACCTTGTGCGCAATGCCTTCCTCAATCAACTTGAGCTTGATTGCTCGGATGCGACCATCGTTCATATCTGAAGGAGCCACACAGTGAGCTCCAGCTTGAGCATATGCAATAGCGACGTCAGACACGCGGTCAACAGATAGCTGATTATTGAGACTGCCATCATCTCGCAGAATTCCGCAGTGGCCATGAGAGGTATATTCGCAAAGACAAACATCGGCGACGATGAAGAGTTGAGGGAAGCGTTGACGCAGAAGACGGATAGTCGCGATGACTGGGCCTTTAGGGTCATCAGCCGCAGTGCCAAGAGCATCTTTAACGCCCGGTGCAACAGGTACACCAAAGAGAATGACAGATCGGAGGCCTTTGCGAACGAGAGGTTCCAGGAAGGGGACGACTCTGTTGATGCCGCGGCGATATTGGTCGGGGAGGGAGGGAATGAGTGTTTCTTCGTCATCCTGATCGGAGATGAAAAGAGGGAAGATAAGCATTGACTGTAGGGTCAATCAGCAGCTGTAGATATAGTGCCAGAGAGGGAAATCCCGTATACCTTAGTCAATTGCCTCTCTGCTTGCCATGTCCGTGCCAGGGGGTGAGAATAACCTCCGTGCAATTGACTTGAGATGTCTCCAGAAATGCTGACACTTGTCGCCGAGGTGCTTGCGTACGACATCGCCCGCGACACATGCGATCTTTTGTCATCTACCGTCGAGACTGAAGAGGTTGCTCTACCCGCTGGTCGTCGATCGTTAGGGGTGTCTCTGAAAGAGAGATCCTGGACAAGACTTGAGAAGGACATGGTCGCAAAATTTGGGATGGAGCTGACGGCGGGAAGTGTTGAGGGGAGGTGTGCAGGAGAGGAGAGAAATCCCACAGACTGCCGCCGAGAAGATTGATATGGACGGATAGTCGGTGACAGGAGTCAAGAGTGGCGGGGGAGGAGTTCCTTCAGCCGAACGAGGACGCCGGCGCGGGTCCGTGGTACCGACGAGGATCTTTAGGAATCAAATGCGTTTGATTGGTTGATAGATAGACTGTACAATGTAGTAGGCCATCTCTACTTGGGATCTGATCTTGCATCCCTTTCCTTAACCGCACAGCGACGAGTATATCTTGTGTATTGATGCGTGCTCTTTCGCATTCCTCTTCTCCGCGACTACAGCAAGCTGGAAGGAAGATCATGAGAAGTTGGCACGGGATCTGGAACAGACCCTGTATATCGTCTCTTATAATGCGTACTGTACAAACCGTCAGCCCTGCTTTTTTGATACTTCCTATATACCTACATACCTACCTATGTGCATAATGTTTTATCGCCATATTTGCAAGGCTGTCAACAATGGCAGACAAATGGCACCAAGCGGGTGCAGAAGTTGCTACAAGTATTTTGCCTTAGCTACCTCTGAGGAGGTCTGCTTCCGCTTCAATTGAACGCATTTCATTGTCTTTGATCTTCCCGGCCGATACCAATCAATACCAGAGTATTTGACTGACATGGAGGCATCGTAAATACGTCAATACCTCCAAGTACAGTTTCTTGCGCTGTCGTGCCTTCCCAATTTCCAAATGGTTTTGGCAAGCTAGGTAGGTGAAGTTCGCCTCTTATGCCATGCATCGCGCTTCTTGCTTGAGCAAACCCATTCTACCTTATACCTCATGACCGCTACCACTACTATCTCCCCCCCTTTCTAATCTTTGTCCTATTACCGTTTTCCTCCTCGCCATTCGTCGCGCAGGTTCTTGAGGATTTCCACTTCGGAATCTCAAAGACTGTCTAGACACTTGCATACTACCAGACCGAAATCCCTGGGCCTAACTTTCTTCCTTCATGGCCACCTATGGCAAGAAGAAGAGGTCCATTCTCCCCTCGTTATCCGCCCTTCAAGATTCCGATGCGACCACAAAGTCCAAACAAGGGGCTTCGAAGAAACTAGGTCTGTGATTGCGTCTGCGCTCAATCTGCTCTCCTTGGCCTCAACCATTGAAAGACTCGAAGCTAAACATCTACTTCTTCCGCAGCTTCCACGGCATATGGAATGTCGACATCCCAAGGCAGAGATATCGCAGGCTCTCTTTCCCATCATGATGATAGCCTCGAGGAAATGGCAAACATGCTTCTGGAAGATACTACAATTGATCAATCCGAATCCGATCATGGACAGCCTGCGTCACACATTGCAGCTGTAAGGATGCTGCCTAGTATATCCTCTCAAGAGAGGGTTCTTCCACAACTCCCAGAACTACACTTCAACAGAGATGATGCATGGGCCACGAACGCCAATACTGTTGTGGCAGCTGCTGGCAATGTCAACGAAATACAGCCCTTTGGCGGCACCAATGGGCCTGGCAACTACCCTGAGAAGATCTTTACTCGTTCCAGAAAGGGACCTGCTCCGCCAATACCTCGCAAATCTTCGAAGAGAAAGTCGGCACGCCCAATGGCCCCTGATTTTAAAGAAAGGGCTGAACCTGGTAATCGGCAGAGTGATGGAGCGAACTCGAAGAAAACCAAGGGTAGCATCTCCCCTCCCAAATATATCGATGTCCCGCAAGCCAAACCATCAGTACTCAACGATACAAACGTGAGCAACAAAATTGAAGCAATGCTCGAGGCCACGAAGGCTTTGAAACCAGGTACATGCGATCACATGCACCAGGGACCACACCTGCCTACTAAGAAGTATCGGCTCAAGGATAGCAACGTACTAATGAAGATGAAGATGGCAATTAATGATCATATCCAGACCCGAGTGAGCAAAAAGTCCTATGACCCGGCACGAGATGACTACCTTCTACACGATGCTCTCAATGAGACGCAGACAAATGACAAAGCAATGTCTACCATGGAGATCAGAATGAATGAAGGTTGGTATTATATTTCTCTTGAGTCCGTTAGACTGACACATTCACCGCAGGTAACAATCTTAGGATGCCCAAAGTTTCTAGCCTCACTGGCCATGGCAATATCCGTCGTAAGGCCATAGCAGATGATGGAATATCACTAAGAAGTCGAAAATCTGTCTCAAATGACCCCTTCTCTGATACACCTCCTTCCAATAGCGAAATACGAACGCCGAGAAGTTTCGAACATCGAATCGTTGATGATATGTCTGACTCCACCTATGAATTACCAAGTGACAGCTATATACGTGGAGACAAGCCTCCGAGGGCGAAGAGATCTAAGCAGTCTCTTCTCGCATACGATACAGACTTTGATGCCCTTCTTTCATCTAGTCCACTGGCTCAGTCGACACCTCGAATTCGCCTGGAACCCACCTTCGAAAAAAATGGCAGGGCGGCACTGAAGAATGTTCCTGCCGACTCTCGCTCGTTGTCCGATCCTGACGCTTCCAGTATTGGTGGACACTACTCGGACGTGGAACTCGATCCACCATCTACAAATAAGATGAATTGTAGTGGTTTAGCGGATCTTATGAAACGAAAAAGTTCTCAAGTGAAGAAGGCTGGGATTTCATCTGCGTCCCATTATTCAAAGAGAATAAAGAAGCACCACTCTTCAAGCAAAGAAGAGTTGGAAGGTTTGGAAAGAGCCATGAGTCTATACAAATCTCTGGATGGGCCTTCGAGCTTCAATCCACTGGATGATGATTCTAGCAGCAAGGTCGAGTCAGAACTAAGGGATACCATCCTGGCACCCAAGAATCCTAACGGGAAAATCAAAGAGCCATCCAGGAGATGTGACAAGGGAAAGGGGTTTGGCATGTTGCTGGAGCCTGACCTTACCAGAACTGCAGTTCCAATGCATGACATTCTTGACACAAGCAGGGGTCGGACCATGATTCTTAAGCCTGTAGCGGTGGCGAAGACGAGATCAAGAGCCGATGGACGAGGAAACCGTCGGTATCCCTCGCGAGGCAATGTTGACGATGATAGCCTTATGGATATCGATGAGTTGCAGTGGGACCAAACTGCATTGCTGAAAAGGGGTTGATGCTACTTGAGAGGTTCCTCCCCATTGAGTTGCTTTCTCTGTCGTAGCTGTTCAAGAGAATACTGTTTGACGGAATATTGCATTGCGACTTGTCTAATGTCTGATACTGTAGTTGGCTATGCAGGGGTTGTCGACGGGTGGGTGTTGCTAGACTGGGTTACGAGCGCTAGGCTGGAAGAGAGAGAGCCAGGGAGGAAAAAAGAAGGGGGTGGAGTGGATATATGTGCAACTACAACTACAGTTCCTACAATTGAAGCTATTCCCAGGTAATGCTTTTGATCGCGATACGTCTTGTCTACCCTTCCCTCCCTTCCCTACCCCTTCCATCATATACCCCTAGAAGTACCTAGGTACCTACCTAGGTAAGTAGTCCCCTCTAGGTAATATCGATATGATCTTATCGCGATAAGAATCCTTGTGCCATCCCTTCTGTAGTTTAGGTCACCCCGCAATCCCGACAAGAGATATGACGTAGAGGCTCCGCGGGGACGGTAACTTGGTACGTAAACCACCTGTTTCGTACGATAGGTACGTAATAAGTAACACAATATTCGATGTTGAGCAGTAGAAACCAATATTACGACCATACAGAGTCTAAGGTATGTACCTAATATATAACAACCCTCTTTCCTCCATCTCCTTCTCCAATCACCTCGGAGTCCGTAGGTGTAAAGTCCTTTTACTCGCTAATTCAGCTTCCCCACCCCACTTTCTTCACCGTCTCTCTTTTTTTACTCTCTACCGCTTTGATTTTTGAATTGAGTCCCAAAATTCTGTCTATACAGCTCGGATCGTCAGGTTTCGGTAGTGGATGCACAGGAAACCAGAATTCAATACCGGGTTCTTGGATTTTGCGGGGGTGTCCTGTTTGGTAGGATAATCTACTGCCTCCTCCTGATATCCCTGACGTCTTTGTGGAAACCCAAAAAACTGCCTGACGTAGTTGAGTCCCATTCGTTGTGAAATGAAGTGGTGCGTCAATTGGTTGAGGATCCTCTTCCCTCTGAACCCCCATCATATATGAGGGGAGAAGCCATTCTCCAATCCGCAACAATTCCCAGTCTCGACCAACATAGAACAACATCATGGCATCTAGTGACAATTCGTCCCAGTCTCGATTCGAGAAGGGTAAGCGTGCAGTTCTCAACCCCTGATCACCCGTTGCCATTGGCCCTTCAGTTTCTTATCAAAGTGTCCAGGTTACAAACCCCCTGTCTCTACTCAAAAGGAGCCCCCCGGAAAACAACACAAGTTGCCGACTGATGCTGTCAATGACCAGCTACCAACCGAAGATGGCGGTTACCAGCTATATAAAGCGGCCAGCAAGCTCGTGGGAAAGAAGGCGCTCATTACTGGCGGCGACAGCGGCATTGGAAGAGCCGTAGCAATTCTATATGCTATGGAGGGAGCGGAGTCCACCATTGTGTACACTCCAGAGGAAGAGAAGGACGCACACGGAACTCAAGACCTAGTTCGGGAAAAAGGGGGAAAGGTGCATCTGATCCAAGCCGATTTGCGGAGTGCTCAGACTTGCAAGAGTGTGGTTGAGAAAGCCATCCAGTACATGGGGCGCATCAACATCCTGGTTTTGAACCACGGAGTTCAGATGATGCAAGAAAGCATTGCGGACATCACCGAGTAAGCCTTTCTTCCCCAATACACTCATTCCCTGGAATGTACAAATTGAAGCATTAGAATATCCATACTGAAACAGCACATAGGGATCAATGGCTCAACACCTTCAACACAAACATCCACCCCTTCTTCTTCCTCTCCAAATATACCCTCCCACAGATGAAGCGCGGCGACACCATCATCACCTGCGCCTCGGTCAACCCATACGTCGGCCGTCCCGACCTGCTCGACTACACGTCCACGAAAGGCGCCATCGTCGCTTTCACGCGCGGCCTCTCCAATCAGCAGATCGAGCACGGCATCCGCGTGAACGCCGTGTGTCCGGGCCCCATCTGGACGCCCCTGATCCCGGCGACCATGACCAAGAAGGCCCAGGAGGAGTTCACGAGCCCGATCGGGAGGCCCGGACAGCCGAGCGAGGTCGCTACTTGCTTTGTGTTTCTGGCGAGTTTGGATAGTAGCTTTATCTCGGGCCAGAGCTTGCATCCGAATGGTGGCGTGGTGGTGGGGAGTTAAGAAGTTAGGTAGGTGCTACGATTAAGGGAATGCGTTTCAGGGAGCGAAAGAATGGAAAGGTTGGTAAGGAACAAGGGGGATCGGGTTAAGGGGTTAGACGAAGGATAAAGAGAAGGAAAAGGGGACCCATACACCTAGTATATATATGCATCTACCATTATCTTGTCTGTAATTAAAAAAAGAATAGGAAAAAGTACGTTCGATTTTGTGACTCGAGACGTCTATATCATTAATTTCCTGTAGCCACGTACAGACTCCAAGTCTTTAGCTCTATTGTGAGCATCATCGTTAACCCGGGCCTGTTCTTTCTGCCTGTCTCCCTGTCTCTCCTGAACGCCGAAACCAGCCCGATCTATACTTATCATACAACAACGTATGTGAAAGGAAGAAGGATATCAACGAAGAGCTAGCAGTCTCCCGAGCAAAACGCAAGGCGACACCAAACTGCCCTCAAAAACAAAAGAAAAGTTGGTATGTACAGCAACACCTCTTGTCTCAGGACCATGATAAATGATCATTCGACTCTCAAGGGCTATAAAATGAATAGAGTTTCACAGCCCCGTGTTCCCAACAACGATCACGAGTAGGAGGCCGTTCAGGACGCACAGACCTACGAACGTGCAGATGACACAGATGCGGTGAAGCCAGCTGAGACGCTCAGTGCGGTAGAGCATGGTGCCAAAGCCAAGCGTCGCGAAGAACAGGCTCGAGACAACGCCGACGATGGCCCCGGCGTCGACCTCGACGCGGAGCTTATGCCGGCCCGTGGCGACGAGGAGGCCTGCGACGAGGACCAGCACCAGCGCCGCGGCGAAGGAGGCGATGGTTGAGTGGAAGAGGAGGCGCTCGCGGCTGCGAGAGAACTTCTGGTCGTTGATGCTGGGGAAGGTAGCGTAGTGGGCAGCGTAGCCGCTGGGGAAATCGCTCGACGAGGCGTCGTCCACGTCGGTCTCTGTCTGCTCGGTGAAGGAGCTCGAGGTCCCGAGCAGTGGCCGCCGCTCGCCCCCGGAGCTCGAGGGGTTCAGCCACGCCCGGACCTGCTCCATGGGCGCGGTGACCCTCGAGAAGAGACTGGCCAGCCTGCTGGGCCCGGAGAAGGTCGATTCGGTGCCTGGATTTACATATATTGTGTATGGCTCGTTCTCGGCCTCGCTCCCGTCGTCGTACTCGTTCCAATATGATTGCCTTTCTAGCTGCGGAGCCGGTCTTTGGGCACGCGGCCGAGGTGATCTTGATCTTGATCTTGATCTTGGAATCGGTGATGTAGGCTCACTTGCATCGGGTGTGGATGCACGGAGATGCGCTAGGATGTTGTTGTATTCCCGTAATAAGGGTTCGAAATCGCGTCGAGTAAAGCTCTTCGGATTGTTTAGGACCTCCTGTTCGAATCGATCGCCGAGAGTTCGTGACCCCGTCCATTTCTGATAGGTTGATGTTAGTGTTCTGTATGGATGGATGTATGGCAGGAAGGAAATCCCTCGACGGACCTTGTACTTCTTCAGTATCTTACGGAATGCCATACGCTGAGCATCGACAAACCGTTGAAGTGACCTAATCTCCTCGCCGCATCTACCGCACGTCAGTGCTTGCAACAATGAATTGTGGGGGATGCAACTCACCTCGTAACCTGATTATCGTATCGCGCGAACTTCTCCCGCCTTTTCCGGGACATTGGCTTGCCATTGCTGTATGTACATCGAGCTAACAATCGAAGGATGGCTTTTTGAAAGAATTCTGGGTCGCAGTTAGCATCAATTCGATTGATGCGGGGGGGGTAGGAGCATGGACGTACGCAGCCGGCGGCCGATCTCATCGGCCTTGCTCTTGACGAAGAGATCGACACGGTCATGCTGGCTGTACAATTCCTTGAAGAACAGATCCTCGAACTTTGCCAGTGCAGTGCCCTCCTGGCCGGGGATGGCGATGGCTTGTGCCTGGTCCTTGGTGGTGTGGATCTTGATCAAGGTCTTCAGCTCGTTATAATCGACATTGTCTGGGCGGATGGAACGCTGGTTAGCCACGGGGCGTCATAGGTAGGGTCTCAGGCAAAGGGTCCAGACTCACATGGCGCCCATTGCGGTACCGATTGCGCTTGGAACGTCTGCCCGTACTTCATCCCCTCGCGCGGAAATCTTGCAGACAAGAGCGCTGCAAGGAATTGGTGGTGAAGGCGGTCGTAGTCCTATGCTGCAGCTTTCTTTTGTCGGGGATCAGATAAGGTGGGTTGGAGGGGGGGGATTAATCATAGGAAGCAACCGGAAACAAAAGACAACAAAACAACTCAAAGAAAAGATATATGCGGCACCGGGGGGGAGCTCGTGAAGGAGGGCGGGGGGGGAGGAGGAGTGCAGTAGATATATAGGATGGATGTTTTATATTATAAGAACATATGATTGAGAAGACCAGCCAGGCCCGGCGTACACGGTACGGGGTCACAGCACGGCAGCGAATAACCTAGGAATCTAGGATCTACCTAAGGGAGTCTGGGGCCTGGGCACAGTCGTTTTGACACAGCGCAGTAGCAGACGATCTATATATAATATGGGGACTATTACGTATATCGAAACCGATTGGCCTGTATGGCTCCGTGTATTCAGAGGACTCTGATCTATTGGGCTGAAAGGATGCTGGACCGGTAAGAGGGTGCCAGTCGGGAATTTTCCAGTGTCGCTAGGTACGTTGTACGTTGTATGTTGTATGGGAAATCCCATGTTCCACTGGCAGAGAAGCTGCTGCATGCAGGGTCACATACAGTAGTGAAGAGCCCAGGGCTGAAGAGAGGATTTTCTTTTTCTTCTTTTTTTTTCTTCCTATCCTTGCATCTTTTGCTCTTGTAGTAGAGAAAGGGATTCATCACTACCTTATTATTATCTAAGTGGTCGGGAGAAAGAGATCAGAAGCAGTGCTGTTGTTGGGTGGCATTCAAAGGCCGTGTAATGCATTGCTTTCCGTCCAACCCCGCTCTACCTAAGGTATAGGTAGGTACTAGTGAGGACTCCAATCTACAGTCTAGGATCTTAGGTATATCCACAGCATCTAAGGTACCTCACTTGGCAGTTGCAGAGGACTCCATAGTATGGTACCTTGAGGCAAAAGATTAAAAGGTTTGTACCTGCTATATTGTACCTTCCTGGTCCTTGCTAGCCATAACTGACTACTTGAATGCCCACAATACTAGGTACTCGCCACCTTATCACCACTTACTACTCACTTAGTATTGTGGACTCCACGGACAAAGTCACAAAGGTAACTAAGAGAGGGACAATAGTTACCTAGGTAACTGTCGCTGTTCTCCGTCTTCCGATTGTCATTGCCCGTCCGTCCGTTGCTTGCTGCTCCTCGTATAACTTTATATATAGGTCAGTATTGAATACATATTAGGCTCTTTGAGACTTTGATATACCTTTACTTTTCCTATGACAGATATGTACCTACGTATACATAGAAAACATTCCGTGTACCTCAGACATACCTACACCGCCGGTGCTTGAATACCAGCTGTCAAACATGCCTACAGACATACAGATGACATGCCTGAGAATAAGAAACGTCGTGCCCAATTCTCACGATGTCTGACTCGTGGACGCTTCGCGGGCGGAACAGACCCTATTATCCCTCATGTAATCGCTGCGAGGGACCCTACATATCGACTCGCCATGCCCAGAGCCCGGCACTCTGGAGTTGTTTCAAAATGTCACTGTAGCGGGGTACGGTACTATCGAATTCATCGACTTTGCCTACCTGTACCTTACTACTTGGGTACAGTATGAAGTAGTGTCTTTGTACCAAGTACGATGTACCGAATAGTACTTACGAGGTACCCGGTGCCCAGCCACCCGGTACCCTGCGCAACCCACCCGGCCATTGTTTGGAAAAAGTTTGAAATGCAGTAATCTGTCACGCGAGCATTGCTATACGGCGGATGGGAGGTAGGGGTGAAGAAGGCGAATAGATTCTTTCAAAAATAATGGATCCCAGAGAAAAAAGACAATGGACTATTGTTGCCAAGAGAGTCCGCGACGCGCGACGGGCGTTGATCACAGTCACGTGACTTTCTCAGATATGAAGATCCCGTGACGATAACCCGCGCGCTAACCCAAAGTCCTTATCGAGAAAATAAAATCTTTGCCCAAAATCTGTGAAGACTAACCACGCCATGGCGGGTCTAAAGATGGAGATAGGTAGCACAACATCGTCCATGACATCGACCTCACACACAATGACTGCTTTACCTCTCCCCACCGCCAAATCGTCTTTTCCAGCTGCGGAAGACGCGGCAAGATCAGACGTCGTGGCGGGTTTACTCGAAGCTCTCGCGCCGGAGGCTAGGCACACCTTCCTCGAGTCTACCCCCAGGATTGTCAATGCCGGTTTAGAATTCGCGAAGGGCACTCTCGATGCGTTTGCATCGGCCTTGGGAGAGGAGCAGGCCGAGAGGCAGAAGGAGTTGAGGAGGAAGAGGAAACGGGGAGAGAAGAACGAGGGAGATGAGCAAGTCTTGAAGATCCGGAAGGTGCACACTGAGGGGTTTGAGGTGGAACAGGTGTGGGAGCAAGCGAGAAGAGTCATTGATGCACTGAGGGGTGATGCGGAGAGAGCCTTGGGGGAATTGGCGGACGTGGAGGCCGAGAGTGAGGGCGATGCTAATGAAAATGGCGAAGGCGGTGTAGAATTGTTAAAGTTCGATGAAGATGGTTTTGAAGTTGGGTCCGATGATGAGAGCCTGGACGACCAAGAACAAGAGGAGGGTTCGGAATCAGAGGAGGAAGACGAGCCTGAGGGGGAAGACGGCACGGATGGCGAAGACGGTGTCGATGGTGAAGAACTTGCCAATGGCCACGATGACTACGATGATGAAGAAGACGTCGATGAAGAGGCTGCTGGGGTGTACGTTGAGGATCCTCATGGGCTAAACGACGGATTCTTCTCGATTGATGAATTCAACAAGCAAACAGAATTCCTTGAGCAACAAGATGCTGCGGCAGATCCCTTTACTGGAGAAGCGAGCGACGAGGAAGAGATCGACTGGGACGCAGATCCTAAGACGATTACCGCAAAAGCTACATCGAGTTCACGTCGGGCTGCAGCAATGGACGTTGAAGAAGACGAAGACGAGGAGCCGGAGGAGGATGACGAAGATGGACCTACTTTTGGAAATATGGATTTGAATGCACGTGAAGGCGATAGTGATGAAGATGAAGAAGGCAACATGGATGAAGATGTGGATGCGGGCGGCGATAATACAAACGACATCTATTACAAAGATTTCTTCGAACCGCCGCCACGCAAAGCAGGAAAAGGGGAACGCCAGGCGAACTATCTTGCAAGACAAGCCCGAAAGGCCAAAGATATAGAACCTCAGGACGACGAAGCAGGGATGGAGCGGGCGATGGCAGATGTTCGTCGAGATCTCTTCGAGGATCTGTCTGACAAAGAAGATTCGGAAGACGCACTATCAGAGGTTGACCCCTCTGATCCAAAATCCAGACGTTCAGCACACGAACGTCGGCAGGCAAAGATTGCAGAAGAAATCCGTCGACTCGAAGCTGCAGCGGTAGCCAAGCGCGAATGGACCCTTTCTGGAGAGGCTCGGGCTGCGGACCGTCCGGTGAACTCTCTGGTAGAAGAAAACTTGGATTTCGAGCATACGGGCAAGCCTATTCCAGTCATAACGGCTGAGATCAGTGAAAGCATTGAGGAACTCATCAAGCGACGTATCCTGGCCCAAGAGTTTGACGAGGTTATTCGTCGTCGTCCAGATGCCTTAGCTACACCTGCGAATACTCGTAGGGGCGCTTTTGAGCTTGATGATAGCAAACCTCAGCAGAGTTTGGCAGAGATGTATGAGGAAGAACACGTCAAGGCACACAATCCCGATACCTACGTCAGCAAAGCGGACGAGAAAATGCGGAAGGAGGAAAATGAGATTGAGGCTCTCTGGAAAGAGGTTAGCGCGAAGCTTGATGCTCTGAGCAGTTGGCATTACAAACCGAAGCCTGCAGCCCCAAGTCTGACAGTCGTTGCAGACGTGCCGACCGTCAGTATGGAAGATGCTCAGCCAGCTACTGCCAGTGGTATCAGTGGCGGTGAAAGCATGTTGGCGCCGCAAGAAATATACAAGGCGGGCAAGGAGAAAGACACTATTGAGAAGGGAGAGCTAGTGCCGAAGAGTGGAGCACCAATTGCAAGGCAGGAGATGACGAGAGAGGAGAAACTGAGGAGGAGGAGACGAGAGAAGGAGAGGATCAGGAAACGCGGCGGGGTGGAACTCAACCAGAAACCAGTGGGAAAGAAAGCCCAGCAAAACAAAGAAACGCTCGGAGAGCTCAAGAAGGGTGGTGTCAAGGTCATTGACAAGAAAGGAAACATTCTGGATGTCGAAGGAAATAAAGTCAAAGCTGGCACTACGCTCAAGGGCGCTGGTGCCTTCAAATTGTAGACATGCAGATGTCGAAATGGGGCCACGGCGCTTGGCCTTCGGGACTCTGGTGGCATTCTGGCATTTAAATTATATTACTTTTACTGTCTTGATTTTCTCCTTAGCTATGGATCTTGTGGTCAGAGTACCCTGGAGTAAGAAGTTCCACTACTTGAGTTTAGGTGTACTTGATAAATACACTCTACAGAACTAGCTCCACGACCCACAGGCGAGGCTAACAAACCATGTGATGCCAGTAAACGGGCTTTGTTTCTCCTCCTATCAATCAGGACTATCGAAGCTCAAGGGCGTAGATATGAAGTAAAGACTGTGGAGAAGTTACGGTGAGGAAAGTTTTGTTGCACATCGCATTTTCTCGAGAAGTGAGAGATGGTGCAGATGGCGGGGCTGTACACGTGATCTTGCATCGGGGGAGGAGAGGGGGGCTCGGGGAGGCTTTGATAGGAGGTCATTCATATGTTAGGTGTACCTCAAAGTAATTACATCAGGTAGATCCCAAGTACCAAGTTGCAATTCAAAAACCATCCATCCCATTGTGAGATTATCGGACTTATATCATGGCAGCTCCAGGAGAGACGTACCATCCCGCATTCCCATACCAGTCCAAACCCCACATCTCAACGGGACTTCCGTTCCCTGTAACCTGCGCCCACCACATCTCCAACACCTACCATGCCTCCAGAGCCTATATCATAGTCTCGAACTCCATTAGCCAAACCGCTGCCTTTGCCGATTTGCAGAAGGCTCTCGGCGACCGCATCGTCGGTGTCCGTAAGGGCATCAAGCCGCACACGCCATGGGACGACGTCCTCGAGATCATCCAGGACGTGAGAGACAAAGCCGCCGATATCATTATCACCCTGGGCGCTGGTTCTCTCACTGACGGAGCTAAACTCATCTCATACGTAAGTAACACTGTATTCTCATCCCAATCCCCGCCAGATCCGCCTCTCCCTCCTCGTACTGACCCGCCAGCAGGCTCTTGCCAACAACGTCTCCAACCATGATGACCTTTCACGACTGACCTCCGAAGCTCACCCAAAAGACCCCAAACCCTGCGCCATCCCAATCATCAACATCCCCACGTCGCTCTCAGGCGGCGAGTACTCCGCGTTCGCCGGCGCAACCGACACCCGCACCATGCACAAAGCGGGGTTCGCGCACCCGTCAATGGGCGCGGATCTGATTGTGCTAGATCCGGCACTGAGCGTGTCGACTCCAGCGCGGATCTGGCTCTCGTCTGGGATGCGGGCGGTGGACCACTGCGTGGAGGGACTGTGCTCGATGAGTGGGAAGGCGGGGGAGGAGAGTCGGGCGGGGTTCGCGGCGGGGTTGAAGCTGCTGGTGCCGAACCTGTTGGTTACGAAGGAGAAGTGGGGGGATGAGCAGGCAAGGCTGAAGGAGATGATGGGGGTGGTGGAGGCAATGAAGGCGTTGGGGTTGGGGGTGCCGATGGGGGCCAGTCATGGCATTGGACACCAGCTGGGACCGCTGGGAGTGGGACACGGGGAGACGAGTTGCATCATGTTACCGGCTGTGTTGAAGTTCAATGTGCGGCATGGGGATGAGAAGGTTAGGGGACTGCAGCAGAAGGTGCTGGATATCTTGTGGGGCGAGGAAACCGTCGCTGAGGTTCTGACCAGGCGGGGATTGGAGAAGAGCACGGCGGATGCGGGGGACGTGGTCGGGGCTGTGGTCAGCGAGTTAGGTCTGCCGCGAACCCTGAGCGAGGTTGGAGTAGGGAGGGAGAAGCTAGATGCCCTTGCTGACAACTGCTTGAAAGATCCCTGGCTGAAGACGAACCCCGTGCCGGTTGTGGAGAAGAAGCAAGTGCTAGAGATCCTCGACATGGTTGCCGGGGATGGGAAGCCGTCCCTATAAGGATATAGTTGGAAAATGCTTACAGTATGCACTTCCTCGTGATCACTCATCATCCATCCCAAAGATCTTTTTGATAAGTCAAACTTGATGTGCAATTTGTGTAACGGGTGAAGAAAAGGGGTAGCCACAACAAGCGAGCGAGCCCCTTGACATTAAAAAAGGGGAACCACAAACAGAGCCAGACAATACAACGTCGCTCCCAATTCCGACCAGCAACGCAGCCCTAGAATTCTTAAGTGAGGAGCCTGGATCCCAAAGCCAGCTATTCAAAAATATCCAGATCCAACTACACCGCTCCCTTTCTTCCACACCATCCGTCCCTGGAAAATCAGGGATGGACAGCAAGAGGTTTGTAGAAGTCCAAACGTTTGTTTGTTTTATGGACCCAATTCTGTAAATAAATTATAGGGTTCCTGCTTTATTTTACATGTTTAATGCAATCTAAGGTAGGGTACCTTACCTTAGGTACCTACTGTAGAGGCAAAAGTGAGATGAAAACGAAAATGCGATGTGCAACAAAACTCTGTAAATCCTGATGAGATATTCACTTGATGAGATATTCACTTGATGAGATATTCACTTGATGAGATATTCACTTGAGATATTCACTTGATGAGATATTCACTTGAGATATTCACTTGATGAGATATTCACTTGATGAGATATTCACTTGATGAGATATTCACTTGATGAGATATTCACTTGATGAGATATTCACTTGACAAGATATTCACTCCCTGAGATATTCACTTGATGAGATATTCACTTGATGAGATATTCACTTGATGAGATATTCACTTGACAAGATATTCACTCCCTGAGATATTCACTCCCTGAGTAGACAATTAAGACATATCAAGGGAATAGTGAGGTAAAAACCAAAATGCGATGTGCAACAAAACCTATTTCTAAAATATTCACTTTATTATACAATAAGTAGGTCGGCAGGAAAAGGAGAGAGAGGGACAAAAGTGTGATAAAAAACCAATCGTTCTAGAAAATAGCGGTTCATATCCAGCAGAGAGAAGGGAAGTCGACGCATCTATCTGTAGGGTATAGGATCTCCTGATTTAGTATGCGATGTTGGGGTTGGGGGGG